GTCGACGGGACGGGACGGGTACTGAGTTACACCGTACCGTAAAACTGTGGATAGCCGGAGCACCACGCTCGTTTGATGACCGGTCATTGCCTCATCGGGCAATCGGACTGGTGATACCACTCCGTTAGCGACGAGCTGGGTAGGTCTACCCTGCACTTCAAGTCAAGAGTGCTGTACATGTTTGATACATGTATTAAATAAGCTCGATATTTGGGCAATACCAATAGGGAACAAGAGCGGGTCCCAGTCCCGCACCGAGCCTCGGAGCCGTCGAGCCATCGGTGATGTCCGGGGCGGAGTTTCACAAACAGAAATATAGTTCTAACCGTGCTCAGTCAAAAACGTCCCCAGAAAGTAGCATGTGACTTGGACGTTTGTCATTTCTGCTTATGGTCCCGGGCCTTTCCGTTCTTCTCTCGTTGAATTCAAGTTGAACACCGTCCAACTTCCAATTCACAGTGCTCATCAACCATGGTTGCATACATTTTTATTTGCCTCACACTCTGAGTTCAATAAAATCCACGCACATTTTGCCTCCAAGTCACAAGTTTTATTCAGGTTTACACAATCCACGCCGCCGCGAGGAGTCAACCGAAGGTTGGCGACGAACAAGCGGCGCCTGTAAGTCCCCAATTTCAAAGGCTGGGTCATTTATTTGGACCTCAATATGTACGCAGATTAAAGTGAATCATCACAACGAGCTACATAGGCTTAAAATGCATTTAAATTCAGCTTACTCTAGTAGTAGCACGGGTACCACAAAAAGTGGCTATTATTTTTTCTTCTGCTTGCATTTTTTGCAGCTCCAGAATATATTTGTGCCCCGGCATCACTTTCATTACAGGTTTCGCAGAGGTGAGGTCGAACGGTCACGTGCGAGCTCCTTCCCGAAGCTCGCGGCCATTGGTGTTGCACTTGCGTTTTCGACGCGCACTCAACCTAACACTGACGTGTAAGGGACTAGTGGGCAGTGTAGCATAACAGATTCAACAGCAAAATATGTCCCAAGCTCAATTTTCTGGATAATTCTAATCAGCAACCCCCCGCAGTCTCAGAACGGAGGTTGCTGCTATTCAGCAACCCTCTGATTTGTAAGATCAGATCTGATGGCGCGCGCGGCGGGGTGTGTCGGGATGTGTTTGGGGCGCTTTCGAGGGGTAAAAACTGGTCCAAAAATACTGTAAATAATCGTGTAGAGATAAAAGTCTGAGTACATCACCTGTGCTCCCAATTTTTTCCGCCCGACTGGGCTAACAAATTGGAGGATTTCAACTGGTTCGAGACCACTTAAGGAAAAAATGGCTGAAAATGGCCCAGTAAAATTCGGGAAAAAGCTGGGTTTATGGGGGAACGTACTGGGAACATTCTGGCTCCGCCCCGCATATTCAAACCCTTTTTGTTGTCGAAAATACGGCGGGAATGGATGTAGAAGTGTCCAGTATCTTATTTTATCTCTGACGTGGGGTTGCTGAATAGCAATCTGCTAATCGACAACCCCCGTACTCGTGTACGGGGGTTGCTGATTAGAATTATCCCAATTTTCACCCATATATTCCATACAGCAGCTTATGTACACAATGAAACCCTACTTCTGGGCCGCGATCGTATCTCAGGGCCAATTCTAAATTGCTTCCCAAATAAAAGGTGTTCTGTATGCCCAGAATACCTCAACTGATTTTCCTGGATAATTCTAATCAACAACCCCCCGTACCCACGTACGGGGGTTGCTGCTACTCAACAACCCGCATAAACACACTGGAGGAGGCTATTATTAGGAACGATTACGCGAGGTTGGGTAGGAAGTCCGAAAAATAGACATTATTGCCCAAGGATGTTGTCATCGAAAAAGAGTACCTGAAGATTACAGGACGGTCGCAATATTAATGGGATTAGATCGATGAACCACTGTATATAGACTGAGATGTGATATAACCATTGAGCCAGGCAGCCGATAGCTATCGGCAGACTGAAAGCATCTGCGCGGCAGCGACCTACCTATGGTTCGGAACGACGGCAGAGCTCCCTAATCAGCCACATCAGTTGTTAGCCGACAGGGCCGAAGTTTGCCGAAATACGATCATCATGTGGGGGTTGCTGAATAGCAGATTGCTATCCAACAACACCCGTACATGGGTACGGGGGGTTGCTGATTAGAATTATCTGATTTTCCATGCTCGAGTGATTATGCCACAAATAATTCAGCCATGTAGCCCGCGACACATGTGCCTGGATACTTTAGTATCTGGGTTCTAGTGTATGGATGAATCTATTTGGCAACCATGCCAGAGGAACGGGGATTGCCATATAACCGATCGCTATTTAGCAATCCCCACGTGACATATCTCTCGGCTAGATAATCGCTTGAGCGCCCCGCCAGCATGATGTCCCGCCGCTTTCTGAGCTCCTTCTGGCTTTCGCATTACGCAAGCCCCGGTTCATACCCTCGGTTGCTTGCTCTTTGAGCGCTGGGCCATAGAGGATATTCTCAATGCCTGAGCCGAGTTGGCCTACTTTCGGCACGCTGCTAAATTCCTCGAAGAACTTCCTTCCTATTCCTCCCGACTTCTTTCATCAACGACTGCCGCCAGCTATTTTTGCGGCCGAACACCCAGTACACTATAAATATTGTAAAACGTCGGGAGCGCATCCGGGGTGGTAACATCTGAATGCTTGACTTCATAGCCTGGACCGCGTCCTATTATGATCATAGTAATGATGCTTTTGGACTCCTAGAATAGTGTGCTGTGTGTGGAACTCTCGCAGTTGAGAACAAACTTTGTTGGGCTGTGTCGAGCAGCAACTTGCCATCGGCGCTCCAAGTCCATATTACAGAGGATTGAGAGAAAGAGAAATTTATATTCCTGGGAGGAATTCACGTTCTAGACTTCTTTCCAAAGAATTGTTGTCAACTATAATAGTATAATGAGCGCGTCGAAGCATAAAAATAAAATATATACTCCTAGACATATTCCGACAAGATTGCGGGGACATAGTAGAGCCCAGAAGTAATGGTTCAAAAATCATTCCGCGAGGCTACTCAGGACCTTCATGAGAGGAATCCTACCCAATCTTATTTCAGTTAATAGCTGTTACATAATCTTGGGGTTGCCACATAACGCAACCCCCGTGCTGTTGGCAAGGGGGGGTTGCCAAATAGATTTATCCCTAGTGCATGTCGAAATCCGGTACCCGGTTCATCTTTGAACGTGGTACGGAACTGAATTGACGGCGGTTAGCGTTCCGTGGGGATGCCTTCCCCCTTTTTTCTGTTCTTTCTCCGGAGAGTACGGTAGCCTCTTGTCATCCCGAGACATTGAATAGAACACGCAAATTTGAACATCAACTTTCAACCTTCTCGATCCGAGTCGTTCTTAAATCGCAGCCACTGGGATACTGGCGAGCTCGATGGGTCTGTGGGCGGGCTAGCGAAATTTACTTTGAAGGAGGACCGCAGCTTACGCAGCGCTTGATCACAGATGTCTGAGATACCGATAAGCTCGAGGTCTATTATTCGAGCGCACCTGGGATACAGATGGCCGCGGTCCAGTCACCCGCGCCTGCGTCGGGGGCCAGACCGGATGCGGTCGGAGTGAATTTGAACCAGGCAGGTGATTTATGTTCAACTTCTCGTTGAGTCCAAGTTCGACTAGCCTTTTGCTTGGGAATTGAGTTGCAAGGGTCGGGGAGGGGAAGATATTAGAGAAACGGGAGAAGAAGCGAAAAGAGGAACGAGCAGAGAAGCAGTGGAAGTCACCCGCAACCGTAGTTCGGTTCAAGTTCATTTTTTTGGTCGTTTGCCCCGGAAAAAATTGAAGGACGGAGGGTAGTCCGTCAGAATACTAGTACGTTCTGATACTGCTCTCTCTCACGTAGCGCTGTTTCCGTTTCGGCGCTTAGATTGGGATTGGTACGTACATATGTTCTTGCTCTGTTCTTCCTCGCGGGTAAGCACTGTACTTACTGAAAATAACTCATGAGTGTATCAATTTGAGCACACTTGAAATACCTCTTGCTGTGGCGCCCGTCCGGAAGCAGGCAGGGTACGCGTCGGGGTGTATTTCAACCAAGCACGTGATCTGTGTTCAACCTCCAAGTTCGACTCCCCTTTTTGTTCAGCCTTTCCTTTGGCTCGCCCGTTTGATTAGAACGGAATAAACAAGGAAGAATAACCAGCGGAAGAAGGCTCTGATTCCGTGTTTAAACGTTGAAAGTCAGCCATCCGAGTAGTTCAAGCATGGTTCAAGCTTCGCAGTCGACCGCTCAAAAGAATAATGAGGTAATAGAGCGACTGAGGGTTCCTATCTTCAAGTCTTAGGACGTGCTGGTACTGTCCTCGCTCGAAAAGTGGTGGTGTGAGGAACGGACCCAAGGATCAAATATCACGTATGTACTTGATTGTAATAACTTCATCAAGTTGGATATACCGATACCGGCACAGTTGAGAGTATTTGGAGCCAGCCGGACTGGAGTTTTATGAGGGGAATGGATGAGGAGAGTAAAAAAAAAAATGAGCTCATATATGACATTCAGTACAGGGATTCAGGCCCTGAATTGCCCCCGTAAAGCCGAATCCCTATGATAAGAAGTTGTGTTTCCACTAGACCATGTCTGATATTCTGCCCTGATTCCATGAAAGGTTTTACTAGAACGTTCAAGGGAGGATGCAAAAAAAAATAAAAACCATGCAAAGACCTTATTCAGACACAGGGATCCGGACCCTGTTGATAAGAAGAGGCTGTGTTCCCATGAGACTATGTCTGATTATCTACTTTGGTGCGTGGGGTGGTTTTATTGGGTTGGAGGAGAAGGACGTGGGTGGTCGATCTATTACAAAGTCTTTGTAAGGTAGACTCAGTGCTACCGGGTTCCGTGATTGTTCTTTGAGATGTGAAGTTGATGCGGCCGCGTTCGATGGGGAATGTTCGACAACGTTCCGCGCGCGGCGGTGATTCGGAAGGAATTAAAGCAAAATGAGAGGAAATAACTCACTCGAGGACCCATACAGACAAAGGGAATCGAACCCTGGATTGCCACTGGACTCAACCCATCATAAGAAGAGGCCGTGCTCCCAATACATCATGTCTAACCCCCTTTAAGGGTGATTGGGTTGGTTTTATTATAATGAGCTCATTTAAGTAAGAAAAAAGTCGGGAAGATAAGTTCGGTTGGCGTAAAGTCCGACCTGGTCGACTTCTTCCCATCTCCCACTGACCACTCACACCGGACCCGCCCAGAGCTGGTACTGCTTGGGGTTAGGCTTGAATTATTCAGCGCTATGCTGCGCTTGCGCTTTCTAGAAGGTACATTCTGTATATTCGATTTATTTATTCGCTCGGACAAGAGGAAGTGTAGTATTCTACATATGGAATTTTTGTATACATGCATCAAATCCCTCGCTCACGCTGACTGGGACTAGCGACCTCGCTGTGTCCGCCAACTTTCGTGACCTTGATTTGGTGTTATTTGGCTCTAAATGAAGACGCGCCAGCATCACGTGGACTTCAGTTCCTTTCCTGCTGTGCTCCCTTTTCGTCACCGCGTCTCCCATCGTCCTACTTTCCCAACGTTCCTGCGCGCCTGCAGTACTCGCAATGCGCGGCGCCCGACTCCTCTTCCGCCGTCGTCCATTATCATTATCGCGCCCTCGCCTTGTCGGCGTCGCGTACTACCATTCCAGTGCTTCGTGCCCGTCCCTCTTTCTTCTTGCCCTCTTCTTCCTCTTACCGCACACGTCCCCCATCCCCATCCCGCTATTTTCGTTTTCGCGGAGTCCGCTTCGTCCCCCTTCTCTTTATCGTCGTCTGCATCCCCTGGCTCCGCTCTCAACCCCTGCCCCGGGCCGAGTTCTCGTCCGAGGTGCTACCTTGCTACCGTCATCATCATCCCATCGACGCAACACCCCGCTCAGCCCTTCCCGTGTCTTCCCGTTCTTCGCTCGCCGTTCTCCCGCGCACGCGTCGGTACCGCACCATCCGCCGCGCCAGCCCTGACTCCACCCCCCTCTGCCCAGGCCGTCTTCTCTCTCTCCTCCTTCCCTTCATGCGCGCGCCCAGGGTGCTACTACTGCTCCGCGCTACCTTGTCCTTTCCTCTTCCGTCCCTCCGCGCCCCCTCGCCGCTGATGTTGGTCCTGGTGCACGCATGCCATCCCTCTTTCCCTGCCATTGCCATAATCCAAGCTGGGCCATCTCAAACCCGAATTCGAGTCCCATCTCAAATGAGAAGCCACATCCGCATCCGAATCCAAATCCAGGCGCTAGCTGCTGCCCGATCTGTCGTGTGTCTCAGGTGCGTCGTCCGCAATCGGATCCGGGACGAATCTCAATCTGAATCTCCGGGCTCGCACTCACAAATCCAGCACGCGCGCGCAAATTCAAGTTTCGATTTTCTAAATAATTCTACGTCTCGAATTCGCGTCACATCCATATCCACCACGAGACTCGCATCTCGAATCCGCATCGCCCGCTCCCGCTTGCAAATCGAAGCCACGCGCTCGTAAATCTACGTCTCGAATGCCCGCGCTCGCAAGTCCCAGGCCAGCTCAAATCCGCGTCCAGATCCAGATACTCTCGGTCGCAAGTCCGCCGCATCGCGAATCCGCGTCCGCGTCGCGATGCGTCCACGCAGTCGGAAATCCACATCCGAATGCACGCCCTCGCACCTCCGCGTCCGAGTCTGCGCGCAATCCAAATCGATAGCTGGATGCTTCTGAAATCGACAGTGAATGAGGGCGAACGAGGGTTTGATTTTTGATTCAGGGTTGGGTCGGCGTTGTGAGGAGGTATAAGAACGGGAAGGGGCGGGGCGGGGCGTCACGTCGATGCGATGATGCTGACGGTAGCAAGGCAGCGCCTCGGACGAGGACTCGGGCCGGGGCGTGGGTGGAGAGCGGAGGGAGGGAGATGAAGCGGACGCGAGGACTCGACGAAAACGAAAGGGGCGGGATGAGCATGGGGGATGTGTACGGTAAAAGGAGAAAGAGGGCGAGGGAGAGTGCGGAAGGACAATGAAGAGAAACGGACGGGCACGAAGCACTGGAATGGTGGTCAAGAAAAGGTACCATCTAATTTGGTGATGCTACTCCCTTGCTTTCTTAATCATGGTCATTTATTTGAGGTGGGCTACATACAATTTCGGAGGGCTCAATATACGCAGAACGAGATACTCCGACCTTTGGGCACGTCAGGTTCAACTTGAAGATCCTTCACTAATATCCTGATTGTCCAGGCACAACCCCGAATGCAGGGCCGTCCTTTCCAAACATCTTTCTCAAATCATCCACGAGCTCATTGGGCTTTTCGTAGGCAGCAAAGTGCCCACCGCTGTCATGCTCTCCCTCGAATACAATATTGCCCAATCCTCGTGTCCAGCTGTGGGAATGTGAGTAGACGACGGCCAGGGATTGAAATGAACATGCCTTCTGGGGAACACTACTATATCTCCAGGAAAATGCGACAAGCCGAGAGGGATCGTCGGCTTCGGGTTAATAGAGAATGCCTTATTGAAGTCGCGGTTTCCAGCTTCAAAGTAGATACGGATCGAAGCCGTTGGGCCGGCTCGCGAAAACCAGAAGATGGATACCCAGGTCAAAACTGCGAGCGAACAGGAGTGAGAAAATATGGAACCATGCAGGTTTCATCGCAGTACCTTCGTCGTCATCCCATGGATAATTGTCCGTCCAACCCACCAGCTTCTCATATATCCAGGCGAGAAGACCCACAGGTGAGTCGGCCAGGGCATATCCCAGCGTTTGCGGTTGAGTTGACTGCTGCCCGGAATACCCGGTGCCCCTGCTGCGGAACAGTTGGCTCCGGGCAAGCACGGCTTGCTCTTTGGGTGTTAGCTCCGCATTTGACTCCGAATGGTCAGCAGGGGGAGCTCCCCTAAACTTGACTGTGAGATATAACAATATGGAGGTACTTCCGGAACGTACATGACCATATTCGTGTGCCATGCTTTGCTATGCTTCTCGCCGTACACTAGGGCAATCGTTCGGGTAATCTGATATTATAAGCTGTAGCACTGCTCGCGTATGTTCAAGACAAACAACATACTGGGAAGCCCCAATCCCCTCCTTGCGTGGCATATTCATTGTATCCGAGTGCCAGCATCAGCTTGTTTCCGACCTGTGGGTCCGATAAGTAATGCAAGCGTCGAACAAGGAATCAGAACTGCGTACTTCTGCATACTGAGGAATATCGAATCCCATCGTCGAAGGACCCTCGGAGAAGCCGTACCCAGGAAGGCCTAGCACCACGACATGGAAGCTTGGATGGTCTGCCGATTTCGCGGACAATAACGAGACAATCTTGCGCGCCTCAAGGAAGCTTCCCGGCCCTATGCGATGCTTCACGTTATTACACTGCCCGCAATGGCAAAGCTATACGCACAACCGTGGACAAAGAGCAGCGGAATGGCGCCTGGGATTTCACTTCGCTGATGTACATAGTGAATTGTGAGCGCCCCGTGGCCCTCGACAGAAATGATGCGTGTGAATTGTGGCAGCGCAGCGTTGAGTTCTGCCTCGTGGTGCCGCCAGTCGTATCCGTCACGCCATCGTGCAACGAGCCGCTTAACATCCGCTAGTGGCACGCCATATTCCCATCCCGCGCCGTCAAGCTCGTCGGGGAGAGTGGTGAGCTTGAGCTTCTGATGGAGTCGATCGATGCTGGCGTCTGGGATCGAAATTTTGAAGGGAGATTCAGTCATGACCTAGTAAGTGAGCGGAGGTGGAGCAAGAGAGGTGTGAGTGTGCGAAAGGAAAAGGAGCGGAATCCAATTCCCGCTACCTTTAGTCCTGTCTCGGTAACCCAGACGTTCTTGGTGACAGTTCGGACTGATCCGTGATTGTCATGTCGGAGATTGAAAAAAGATGTGCAGAACTGTCACCAGAACGTCTGGGGCATTTGGTGGAGCCGGCCCCCCATCGCGTCACATCGACTTCTCCCTCGCCTTTCCGCTCCTTTCCGAGCCTGGGGGCTCTCTCTAACGACCGATAGGCAACCTGGGATGGACTCCTAGCTTTCCCTTTTTTTCTCCGCTCAATTTCTGGGTCTGGTCAGAGTATTTTTAAAAACCTCCATTTAATGCAATTGGGCCTGCCTCTGCCTCTCTGGGACCCAGGAAAAAACTGAAGCCTGGCGCGATGCATCCAATATGTATGTTGGAGTACTAAATAGGCAGGTAAAGGAATTCAGGACCTTGTCCAGCACGATATCGCTCCCAGCGTGACGTTCAGGTGTGACTCGATGGGGGGCCGGCTCCACCAAATGCCCCAGACGTTCCGGTGTGATCTCTGCGCTTTTTTTTCGATCTCCGACATGTCAATCACGGATCACACCGGAGCGTCTGGGTTACCGAGACAGCCTTTAGTCAGGTTTTATAGCGCCTGATTTTCGGGACTTGCAGGCGATCATCTTTGTCAGCTCTTTTCGCGTAAGCTTCTTTACCCTGTCAAAATTGAGCCCTGCATTCTGCGTTCTCCGTTGGTTCTCCGAGCCCCGCGCACTCTTGAGTCATTGAAAGTGTGTCACTCCGTCCGATGCCGGCCGTGCCATGGAGAACTTTTTCGCTCTTCTTGCCTCCCTCCGCAACTTCGTGCAATCTCCCGCTTTCTACAGGTCCATTGACTAGGTTCTGACTTCTGGGCTGCCTGCTATCAATTCTGTTGTATCCGGTCTGTGCCTTCCATACCGCGCCTCCACCGATGCCATCTGTTCTCCGGCTGTGCAGCTAGATGTATCTGCTTCCCTTTCCTTTGATCTGGTCCTGGGCCGCGACTGGTTCTATCTCTGTCGTGACTCTACCACAAATGCTTGCTTCTACCTGTCGCTCGGCGTGCGAAATCTTCCGTCACCCCTCCGGAGGTATTTCTCCCTCCCTCTAAGATAGAGGGCGTGGAAAATGAGATTGTAAGAATGCACAACTACTGGGAGTATAGATATCCACAACAAACCAGTGAGTAGTGCGGTACAGAGGGTGTAGCCGGTCGACTTAAGTTCGGAGATCATTTCGGGAATCACTGGCACCGGAACGGGAATGTCAAACTGTCAAAAATCAACCTCGACCATCCCGCCTACCGTACTAT